AGCTATGAAAATGTATGAAAAGAAGGTTTGTTTACTCACCCTGAAAATGTATAAGATACAAAGTTTGTTTGCTTTCTTTTTTACTTGATTTTTGCTATCAAAAAAGGAAACAGAAAAATGAAAGCACCTTGAACATTTTTACTGAAGTTAATTCTTAAAAGGCACAGGCTATACTGATAACATTATATCGCTTGTTGTGTCTCTTTTCATCGTACTAACGCATTTTTCAAGATCATTACGTATGTCAATGGGTGGGCAGGTTGGATGTGAGCCTTGTTTTCTTGCTGCCCAACATGGTACTAACAGTAGGCTGCCTCTAACTGTTACCATCAAGGGGGTTCCTTATTCCCTTGATCAAAAAGATTTAGAAGGCATGGAAATACTAATTCCCAAATATGGGAATACATTGTATATTTTATATCTTGTTAGTCAAACAATCAGTAAAGGTAGTTGTGATCTGCATACTGCAACAATCATTGGCAGTAACATTGAACAAGGAGGTCTTTAAATGAAACTTAACCAGATACCTAATATTTATTACCTGCAGTTGGTAATTTCCTGGTGGAGAAGAGTAATATGAGAGGTTTGGGATGTTGGGGGTGGGGGTGGGTGTTACAGATGTGGTTGGTGCTTACCTTATCACATGCTTGGCCCTGGGCCAGTTTAACCCATTTTTATGAAGGTTCGCTTGATATTGTTGTTGATTGTGGCAAGTCAATCCTTTATATCCTTTCTTCACCAATTCTGTACTTCCAGAAAATTTGCAAGCAGTACAGTTTCTCCTCTCTTTTTCTTCACTCGCATGATCTTTTTTGTTGTGTTGTCCGGCAGTGGTCAATAACTGAGCAGTTAGTTACAATTTTGAGGGAAGATGTGTTCCGAAAACAAAGCTCTAACCATGCAAGTTTTATACTGCTCTTTTACTGAAATATAACAGTCAAAGATTTGTTTCTTTCTTCTTCTTTTTTTTTCCAGGTGAAGGTGGGAGCTTTGATTATATTAGTGTTACACCACCATATGCTGCAGTTGATTACAGTATATTAATGAATCAAATTTCGACATCATCAGTAGTGGGAGAGAATACATTTATAGTAAGTGTCACAGTGATTGTGCTTTATAATATCACATGTGTTCCTTTTCCATCCAGTTTTTTTTTTTTTTTTTTTTTTTTTTTTTTTTTTTTTTTGGTTGGTTGTCAACATATTTTTGTGTATTCAGTTGGTGGAGTACCCCTTGAGAACTGATATGCTGGATTCATGCGGGTGTCTTGTTAAGGTATTGAGCAGTTCCCCTCCCCTTTTTTTTGATATAAAGAGCAGTTCCAATTTGTCAGTATTAGGACAGCACTATCCCCTCCCCTGCTTGAGTGGATGTACTAAGACATTTCGTTATTGGATGTTATCATTAGAAATATTGCTGATTGCTTAATGCGTAGGCTGTGATTTTCCATTTTGTCATTAGTAAATGAGCTTGGATGGTGTTTTCTTCTTAACAGAAACTTAAATGTTTTACAGAGCTAGCTGGATGTATTGTTCAATTATACACAAAGGAACTAATTCTCTCTCTCTCTCTCTCTCTCTCTCTCTCTCTCTCTCTCTTGTTACTAAAAAATGCAGATATCTGATCGGCGGTTTGGTCGAACGCATTTGGCAATATATGGACCAAAGTGGGCGCAGAAGAAGAAATATGTTGAGAAGACAAAGAGAAGGCAGGAAAAGCTGAATTTGTTAAGGGAATTGGAGATTTCGGCATCTTCAGTTTAACTACTGAGAATTGCATAACATATCTTATAGTCAAGAGGGTGTAAAATGCTGCCAGACATTTGATTGCACCATTTCTCTCCATCTATTCACGTGGTAATTTTGCTTTTGTGCTCCTTTAATCGTCTTGCTACAGATTGCTTCTGATCAATCAGATTGATTTTTAAACTGCAGGTCAATTGCTTCTTGGGGCATTTTGCATCCCTGGCTGCTGCCCCATTGGGATGATATACTTGACTCACTCATAATGAGCAGCCGTATGTAAGAATACATTACGAGTTTTCTGCAGGGTTTTGCTAGTAAATGTAAATATATATATTATTACCTATTCTACACACAATGGATCGTTTAAGTTGTATCAATGTGCCATTCCCTGTTTATCCTTGCTTTGTCTACATTATGATAATGGAAAACGCCAAAGAAATTTATTCTCAATTTTCAAAGCCTGAATCTGATATCCCATGTATTTCGTCCAGCATTCTCTTTTCAACATCACATTCAACTTGTATATGGAAAAACTCGTCTTTTTATTTGAATTTTTGAACAAGGTAGTATTAGAAAAGCTGGAAAAAGGAGCATGACTGACAGTGATATGATTTCTTTTGTAAAGATAGGTCAAGAACAGATGGAACTGTTGTTTGAACATTAGCGATGGGTCACGTTATTTGGTACCTTGAGTTATATCAGAGGAAGCTTCTTTGTCCTACCTCTCATCTGAGAGTAAAGTAGGTCAGTATTTGGACTTATAGAGATTATCCCCTCAGGATTCAGTATGATCTCTTATCTAATGAAGCAGAATAAGTGTGATTTATAGGTGTCAAAATGGTTAAAAGAAAATAATTATCCATCCATATTATCCATTAAACAATGGATTGGATAATGAACTTTTTAAAAACGAGTCAAATATGGATAAGAACCATATTATCCATCTAGAATATGGATAACCAATGAATAACTAATGAGTTTAACTTTTACATTTGTAAAACCTCAAATTGGGGGTTACTCAAGTTTGGGAGACTAACAATTCTCCCAAAAGTGATCATATTCAAGAAGTCATGGATAATATGTATATCCATATTATCTGTTGGGTAATTCATTTTTTATCCGTATTAAATATGGGTCGGATCGGATAATTTATCCGTTTTTTTGAATTACCTCTTTTGCGACCCGCCCGTTTGCCACCCTAGTGTGATTAAATACTTTGAATATTGGATGTGGGTGTCTTTAGCGTTAACATGAATTCAATATACAGTCTGATACGCTTCTAAACTTGTGTTGAAAGTTGGCATTCTATTTTGAACTTTGGATGAGTGATAGCATCTTATTTTAAAATCTGGATCTAACGGGTAAAAGCTATTCTCACTTCATCACTAGTGTACCAAACTTTGGTGTAAATATTCCATCTTTCATATTCACATGTATACTTTTTATATCTCAGAATCTCTTTTTGCATAAAAAAGCTTTAGATTCTATAGGGACCGCATTGTACTGGTCCTGACTGCGATTAGAACATAATGGAGAATGTGCTTGCAGATAATGTCTCTTCTAAGATTAAGTAAAATGGACAGTGTTTTCCGTAAATAGACGGCCTAAGGACTGGATGATATGGTCAGAACTCAGAAGGTTCTTATTTCTTTTGCAGGCACTTCTTTTAAGGAGTTTCCTTTACAGATTCTTCGGATGAAGATACGTGACTTCTAAAACAAGTAGATATTTTAACTTCCCCTTTGTTCATAGATTTTGGTTTCTTTTGTTCATGAAATATGATTAGTTTTTTAAATAAAAAAATTCAAGCTGGTTTTGAGCAATTTTTGGGTGAAAATTTTTCTTCCACTCACAAAACTTTAACTTTTTTTTCATATAAAATGCATATCCAAATACAATTTTAACTTTCAAAAATTATTTTTTAACATAATTTTGCAAATTGCAGCCAAATCTATATTCAAACGCTAGATAAGTTTCTGGCTGGAGAAGAAAATTAATGACAAATAGAGCTAGTAAAATTTTATACCGGGGCAAAAGAGGGTGTTTTTACTTGTGGGACGGCAATTCCAAATTTATTCTGGAATAAGAAATAAAGTTCTCTTTGATTTGCTCTGACGGAGATGTGATGATTAGGGGTGTACATGGACCGAGTTGGTTCGGATTTTATCAAAACCAACTATATCGGTTTGGATTGGTTCGGTTTTATCGGATTTTTCGAATTTTTCGAGTTTTTTTGTTACATGAATATTATTTCAATCTTACTTTGTTAAAGTTATGATAAGTGAATATATGTTTAGTAAAAATTAAAAAAATTGACAACCATATGATCTATAAAATATTCTTATGGGAGAATTTTTTTTAATAACGCATGGTAGCTATTTTATTAGCCGTCTAACAATAATTTTTCGTTGATGTATGTTTTCAAGGTTAACCGATTTTAATAAATAAATATAAAAATTAATTTGATACCTAAATAATGATATGCTCTATTAATTTTAAATTATCGAAATACCATTTCAAATTCGAAAAATATATAAGAAATTTTGACTTATGAATATGAAAGAACAAAAAGATGATTGACGTATTTCAATAACATTTGATAAGAAAATGATACAACCTATTATTTAAAGTAAATAAAAATGAATGCACTTCATTGTTCTATTACAAATATATATCTATGGGAGGATCCCAAATATTTCTAGATATATTTTTAAAGAAAATTCTATATTAAATCTTAAAAGTATATATAAAAATTATATATTTATATGTTGGTTTGGTTCAGATTTTTTTACTCAGTACCAAACCAAGTCAAACCAAACCTAATCGGATAATCGGTTTGGTTTGACTTTTCGGTTTGGTGCGATTTTCCGGTTCGATTTGAACACCCCTAGTGATAATTTTGAATCTAGTTTCTCCTTCAGTGTGTCAAAATCACCTCTTTAATATCAGCATTTACGAATAGCCAGTTCTAGAACACTCAAATCTGCAGGTTAAACCCGAAAAGTTCAACCATTAAATTCTTACCATTGAACTCATTTGTATGCTTAAAATTTTGAATTTAAAATTAAAATTTGAAACTTTTGTACTTTTTTACATATATATTTACATCCCGTCTCATGTTGCCTCTACACTCAGCAGTGAGGTCCCTTGGTTTTGTTGCATGAATATGCACCATTCAGAGGCGAATCAGGGTCAACCGAACACAACATTTTTCATATAATGTATATATGTTAATGTAAATTTACTAAAATTTCAACAACTATTAAATTCGAAACCCACAATTCCAAAATTTCAAATCTAATCAATATAAAAACATAGGACACTTTACTTTCTTATATAACTGTTCTCGACCTATCCCTATGCTTAATTCTCTCCCCTTTTACCCCACATCTTCAACTATACCCCATCCTTTTTGTTGCTTTTGGACATAACGAACTTTAACTTTTCCATGCTATATATTAATCTTATGGCAAACCATAAACCTCCCTGAAAGACCATTCGAACAACAGATTACCATTGTATACTGTTTATAGTTTCTGTTTACATAGTACCAGAGGAAGGAAAAAAAATCCTAAAATTGGGGTTGGCGCGTTCCACTGATCCAGAAATGAGCATTGAAGATCAGATACAGGCGAGTGCGACGTAGGAGTGCTAGTTATGGGTGGTGGTGGTGCTGGCCGTGGCAGCAGCATTTTGAGGGGTTTCTTGAGAGCTATTCTTTTACTTAGTTTTCTATGTTTTGTATCTGCTGAGATTTTAGTGAAACAAAAAGCCAAAACTGTCACCAAAACAATTACTGCGACAACAAGCAATCATTTAGACGCTAGGAGGATAACAACAGAAACTGAAAGTCATTTTCTTCTTTTTCAAAGGAATACCAATCTCAATTATGTCAGCAAAAGAAGAGTATGGAGCGAACCTGATCCCATACACAACAGGTATTTAATATTCATGAGCAAGAGTCTTGAATAAGCATATACTTCTATAGGTATAACAAGTTAGTGATTTTATACTCCATATTTATAAATGGTTTTTCAGGGAAGCAGGAAAGTACATGGAAACACGCATTCGAGCTTGAGCTTAGGGGCAAAGTAAGAGGCTTCACATTTGACAACTACTATTGCAAAGAGTTTCGCCAATCAACAAGATTTTTTCTGCTTTCATTGTGCATTACACATCTGAGTACTAAGCACCATCTGTTTGTAGAGAAGCAAATTGCAATCAAGTGAATGAAAATTTCAGCTGCCAAATCAAATTCAAGAGGGCAAATAGCCTTTAAAACGCCCATTTGACTTCCAATTTAGTGAAAAAATCATTCCCAATCAGAAACATAAATTTTGCAAAAGGAACTAACATTACTGATCAACAATATATTCCAAGACTAATCAGAAGGTTTAATTGCCAATAACTCTGCCTTGGTTGTATCTCCATTGGATAAATTAATCCCAATGTAAAGGCAGATATTTTACCAAACCAATCCGTTTGGGAATATAGCATTGCCTGTATAGGCATTGCATAGCTTTCCTTACTTTCAGATATTCGTCAGAATCTTGTGCTTTTTCGCTTACTAAAGGGGAAAAAAAGGAATCTTCTTTTCATCAAACCTCCAAAAAGCAAACATGTAGAAATGATACAATAGAGTCAATCTAGAGTAATCATCGACAAATGTTGAAGCTAAGGCAGCATAGTCTTTTCTCTTGTTTGGCTTAAGATTCAAATCTGAAAAAGGAATTTAGATATTCTATAATTTGATATACAAACGATAAATGATAGCAAGGGACGCGCTTAATATATGAAGGACAAAGGGATATGCTGTGACCTTAAAAGGCCAATGCCCAGGTCAGTTGCAAAAAGCTAAATTAGTAGTACTACAGATTTCGAGCAACTATGTGACAAGTTTTGCTCAGTGTCTTGTTAATGCATAACTATCAGCTAAGGGAAAACAGAAACATAAGAAACCAATAACACTTGCTATCTCTACAATATTTTTCAAGCAGAAGACTTACAAAATGATTTGTGATTTCACAGTATAATGCAGCAATATTCGTGGTAGTCCTTTACAGAACCATATGTATCGTTCCTGATTCCACTTGCACCTAAGGGAAGTGAAGAACTTACCATAGGATGTAGTTGTGTTCACCAAATGTGAAACATTTCGTAATGCTTTTCCATTCATGCATCAAATGGGACTGCTAATATCTTGTTTGTTAAATAGTAAGGGAAATTCGTCAAACTGTTCAGAGAAACCTCGTTCCTCAGCCATGCTCTTTAGTGATTCATAAACTTGATACATAGACCATCTCTCCTTGGGCCGAGAAATTACACAATTGGAAGCAATTTTTAGGAATTGCACAACCTCTTCATCATGGCCCTTCCCACATATGTGCTTATCAATTGCATCTTTAATCCAACCAGAAACAGAGAGCTGATTTACCCAGTCAACCAAATTTCCCTTAAAACCTTTGTCAGCAGTAGTGATTTCTAGAGGTCTTTGCCCAGTAGCCAACTCCAAAAGCATAACTCCGAAGCTGTAAACATCCCCTTTCAGCGAAGCCACCATTGTGCTCGAGTACTCCGGAGCAACATACCCAAACTCACCCAACTCCCCATTCACAAAACTAGTCTCTTTCGCGTCTGAAGGAGTCATCAGCCTCGCCAACCCAAAATCCATTATTCTAGCATCAAAATCTTCGTCAAGGAAAATAACATTAGAACATATGTTTTGGTGCAAGATTGGCGGATTGCAACCATGATGTAGCCAAGCAAGGCCCCTCGCAGCTCCCAAACCAATCCTAAACCTAGTCGGCCAATCCAACACACTTGCGTTCCCATTCAAGAATGAATACAAAGTACCATTTAAAAGGTGCTTATAAACCAAGAGTTTTTCCTCTTCAACAACACAAAACCCCAAAAGTGGCACCAAATTAGGATGCCTAACCTGTCCTAACCTATTCATCTCCATCCGAAACTGCTTCTCACTCAGCTTGCAAGTCTTAAGCCGTTTAATAGCAAGCGCAGAACCATCACGTAAAACAGCTCTAAATGTAGTCCCTGTCCTAGTCGAGTTTATCACACTCTTCATACTAAAATTATTCGTGGCAGCCAACAAGTCCGCTAACTTAACCTTCACAAGCGGTTTCTGAAACAACATAACCTGAGTAAGCCTATGAGCCCTCAACTTCTCAGCCCACCTATCCGAATCATCTCTCCCTAACCCATAACCCATCTTCCTCCTTCTCTTCCCCGCCTTCGTAAAATACCAATACCAAGCCCCAAAACCCAACAACATAGAAGCAGCAGCACCAAAAACACCAGTAACAATAATAATAGCTAAATTTTTCTTACTTAATCCACCACAGGGAAAGGAGAAAGGAAAACATAGGTATTGACTTGAATGATGAAGTGGAACCTTGGAATTATATATCTGGGAATTTGTAAAGTTTGTTCATTGCTATTATTACTCATGTTAGAATTAATGGAGTGGAGTCTTCGGAGAGGATACAATATGTCCCACGTTATTTCCCGCTTTTTGTTTTTATTTCTGTTTCAGTGTGGGAATAAAATTTTATATGGCTAAGTATTGACATACCCCAATTCAAAATTTTAAGGTTGTGGGTCAAACTTGCACTACATTCATGACTCTTTTGTCTCATTTGTTAGGCTATAAGCCTATAACTAATATTTTAGTATTTGTGGTTGTGCACATAATAGTTTGATCATTAGTAATTGTAAATATAAAACTTCAGTATTTAAAGGAAAATCTTACATAAATATCCCAAATAAGTTTCAATATACCAACATCTAAATATTAATCATAGATTTATCAAAATTAGTCAAACACATATAAAAATTAAAAATTCAAATAATAAGGTTCTTTCTCTCTAAGAATCACACACAAAGATCTCCAACCATATTTTTAAGGGAAACCACCAGCTATGTTCATTTATAAGTAGCTTAATACAAAAAATGGCCAATTCATTAAATATAACTTATATTAGCCAAATGTTATCAATATTAGCCAATTAGCTATTTGTAGCAAAAAAAGGTTAAATTTCTGCTTTCTTTTGAGTGTGTGTTATTAGAATAAATTGGGTACATCTTAAGGAGTTTGAATCTCAGTTTTCGGATGATTTGACAGAGTTTTAATGTGGTTTGAATTAAAAATTCGAAGTAGAAGATGAAACATGGAAAAAAAAATGATGTGTATTACATTGTATATCATTTGTGTATCACATATGTATCATATTTGTATTAAATGTGTATTACATGTATATCCATGTATACTTGTATGTGTGCATGATACATGTTTGATGTATGTGTCGCAGAAGAATTTTTTGAACTCGATTTTAACTACGAATTTTGATACCAAATCAGTCC